AAAACCAATTCATACTAGGAACGTACTTTAAGGGCCAGTCAGTCAAATGGGCAAAAGTTATCCTGGTTAGTGAAAAAACTTTTCGAAAAGTTTACAAGCGAGATCTCGCCTTGGTATGAAAATAATATGAAAAGTTAGTTTACACTGCGTTCATATAAGACAAAACGTTTTCCCGTGTACGTACCGAGATCTCGCTTGTCAAGTGATAATGTTTTTCCCATATGAACACAACTCTAGTTCCCGCTTGGCAGGATAGCTTTCTGTCGTGTCAGTAACTTTTCAATTCAATTGATATTCAGTGCTATGTCACAGCCGGAAACTTTACCCGGTAAGCGGAATAACGAATCTCCATGCATGTGAACAGAACAAAAGTACATTTGGCTAGTCGAAAAGTTTTCTCGTTAACCGGGATAACCTTTGCCCATATGAACAGGCCCTTAAAGACGAAAGGAGTTGTTTTCTCGCCTAAATGTTGTGCCATCTTGTATTCACCCGCCACGAATTCGAGAGGTATGGACGCATCGAACGACAGCTATTTGCTACGACCTAGTTACTGCTCTATTCAGCGACGAACAAATTTGTTTTTAACTTTGTTTTTTTTTAAATTTTTGGCAAGTTGTAGTTTTTCGCCGCTTGCTGCCATGTTGGAAAGAAGACAATTTGTTTTGCGCATGCTCGATGTCGAACACATTTTTTATTTTTTTCGAAATTTGGGCACGGCACCCCTTGCTAGACGTGCCGAGACTACCTCGTGAGAAAGTCTCGGCACGTTTAAATTTTGCGGCACCGGTGCCGATTATTGTCACGTTTACACGCCAAAAGGCAGAGGTGCCGTGCCTAAAATTTTGGGACGGGTGCCCATTTTCAGGGGTGCCGTGCCCAAAACGCTTGTCGTGTAAACCGGCCTTTTATATCTGATAAAACACTGCTGCTCGTGTTTTAAATAGTACTTTACATTTGAAATGCGAGGACTTCAAATCTAGTCCAGTCCTCCTAGTCGGATTTGAAATGACATCCCATACAAATAAATCACTACTTAAAGCATGGATAATAAAATAAATGGATAGGAAACTAGCTGACATGACCTAATGTTTTTACTGGGATTGATGGCGTGGTTGGATGCCTCAACCTAGTTGAAAATCAAATTCTCAAAAACGGCATGTTTAGCAATAATACAGCTAAACATTTTAGTCAAAGAGCAAATAAATATAACCACGCCATTCTACGATGATAACTCTAAGTATTCCCAGTCAATTTTAGCAAATATTTCAAGCACTAAACAGTGAAAAATACATCGCAAATTTCGTTAAAATTTGTGACGCCAATTTCGTAGCTACAAATGTAAAAAAATACAAAACAAAGACGAAAAACATTTACCTTGAATACTTTGTCGTGGCTTAGGCATGTTTTAAAACAATTAGACCAGTTTACGCTTCAAGATCACCCTTTTAAAGTGGAAAATATAGCAAAACAACAAATATGCCGAGAACTTTGGTAACATTCGCAATACGCGTGACGTCACGTTTTTCAACAAGGATGCAGTCAATGACGTCAGAAGTTTCTAATCCATTTATTTTATTATCCATGCTTAAAGTGAGGTGAATTAATTTTGATCCAGTCCTACAACTGGATCAATATACTTCACCAGGTATCCAGTATTATCATGTGAGCAAAATAAAGCAGTATGGTTGGCTAATTTACTCATGAATTATTAAGAGGAAATTTTTTTCAATCTCACATATTTGCAATGAAAAGTGTTCAAAACCTAAAATCTTTTTGGCGTTCTCTCAAAATTACTTTGTTTTAGCTTTATTCTCTAGTTTATACAGTTAGCTACCTTTTTAAATGCATTTGCCGGTTGAGAAACATAAAATAATAGTTAAAAATTATCAATTAAAATACAATTATCAATGCTGCTTTAAAATTGACGCCATATTTACAGCCATATAAGCAAAACTTACTGAACTTCAGACATCATTTTCTCTTTGGCGTATCATCTAAAATCTCTTCATTTTAGTATTATTTTACAGATAAAGCACTAAACATACTTTTTAAGTTTGTTTGCCGATTGAGAAACGTATCGAAAAACTAAAATTTTGAATTTAGTCATAACCTCAAGTGATATATTACACAGTATAGTTTTGAGCGCGTGTTACGTAACATACAAAAAAATCTCCTCTTAATGAGTTTGAAATCAATGAATACTCACAGTTTTCTTCATACTTTCGTTGGCGTGGTTTGCCGCGGCAGAAATGATTTCCAAAGATTCTAGAAAGGGGGGAATGGCATTGAAACCTGGAATAAAACTACCATTGTTGTTAAAAAAACCTTCACATCATAACTTACTTTTTGACTCTTCTATATCTGACGAATCTTCAGGCAACTTTGAAACATAATCTAAACATGAATTTTTTCTGTGTTGGTGTAATGTACTCAGGTGCATACGATGTTTGTGATGTTAGTCTGAGTGTATATCCACACCGGGCAAGCTTGAAAAATATGCCTGGCCACGGTGGGAATCGAACCTACGACCTTTGGAATACTAGCCCAATTTTCTTTTTGCTGTGCCGACTGAGCTACGCGGTCAGGTCGGTTCGAGTATGCGATATTTCGGAACTGAGTCTAGTTCCTTCGATATCAATGTAATCTAGTAATCATGAATTTTTTCTGTGTTGGTGTAATGTGCTCAGGTGAATATGATGCTTGTGATGTTACTCTGAGTGTATATCCACACCGGGCAAGCTTGACAAATATGCCTGACCACGGTGGGAATCGAACCTACGACCTTTGGAATATTGGGCTAGTATTCCAAAGGTCGTAGGTTCGATTCCCACCGTGGTCAGGCATATTTTTCAAGCTTGCCCAGTGTGGATATACACTCAGAGTAGCATCACAAGCATCATAATCTAAACACTTTATGAAACATCTAACTGACTCAGAAAGAAACATTAAGCTGTCGTGGGTTATGTCGAAACCACCTGCGAAAAGATTGAAAACATTTCGACGTTTTGGTTTTAAATATATTTAGTGGTGTACACGCGTAAAAACGCACAAGTTGGAACAAACCTGCAGCAGACTTGTAGCAATGCTGTTCCAACAACTTGTCAACAGGATGTGTTCGCACTGCTTGTTCCCAGCTTGTTGACAAGTTGTCAACGGCTTGTTGGCAACTTGCTACAAGATTGTTGAGCTCAACAGACTTGTTACAAGTTGTTCCAACAACTTGTTATCGTCCAGCAATTCAACAATTTGTCAACAAATTGTGAGTGACAACCTTGTAGCAACTTGATGAAATAACAGCATTGTTACAACTTGTTGACAAGCTTGCTACAAGCCTGTTGCGAACACATCTTGTTGACAAGTTGTGAGATTTTTACCTGTGTAGTACATACATAAAAACGCACAAGTTGTTCCAGGTCTGCAAACAAGTTGTTACAAATCTGTTCACAAGGTGTCGACACGTTGTGTTCGCACTGCTTGTTCCCAGTTGTTGTAACAAGTTTGGAACAAGCTGTTTATTGTTAACAACTTGCAACACGCTTGATGACATTATCAGACTTGTTACAAGGTTGTTCTAACAAGTCTGACACAGTCATGATATAACAAGAATGTTACAAGGTTGACGACACAAGCTTGTAACAATGTTGTTATATCATGACTGTATCGGACTTGTTGGAACAACCTTGTAACGAGTCTGATAATGCCATCAAGTTTGTTACAAGTTGTTAACAGCTTGTTCCAAACTTGTTGACAACTTGAGACAAGCAGTGCGAACACAACTTGTTGACGGCTTGTTGGCAGACTTGCTACAAGATGTGAGATTTTTGTGTGTGCAGTATAGCTTCAAGTTATCAGGTAGTTAGGACGCAAAACGCATATACAATGTGCAAGCACGTCATACCTGTTAACAGCAGTTTGTAGCGTGGGACACGTTGTACTGGGGCTAGCATGTGATGTTCCAATGTTAGATTGTTGCAATCCGTATCAGTTTTCTGAAAGAATTAAAAGCACATTATTTCGTGTGTTACGTTCAAACTTGGTTATGACAAATGGTTGTGACTACATTCAAAATTTTTAAATTTCGATACGTTTCTCAATCGGCAAACAAACTTAAAAAGCATGTTTAGCGCTTTATCTGTAAAATAATGCTATATTGAAGAGATTTCATACCAAAGAGGAAATAATTTCTGAACTTCAGTAAGTTTCGCTTATATTCTGTAAATATGGCGTCGATGATAATTGTATTTTAATGGACCATTTGCATTATAGACTAAATTTTGGTCTAGACAAAAATTTCATCACAGCTTGAAAGAGCATCACAAAATTAGTAATATTCCAAAGTTTCGTTGCGAAATGTTGTAAAATGCGGATAATATAGCCATGCGAAGTTTGCCGTTTTTCAGTCATTTTGTATTGCGCACGGGAAATTGACAGCCCAATCGGGTGTTGG